GTGGATCATGATCATACCTGTTGGTCCAGTTGTGAGGACTTTTGTCTTCTTGACGTTACCTTCTGACCCATACTGAAGGCTGTACACCTTGATTTTTGTGCAATATCGTTTCATTGGGGCTCTTTAAGCTCTCATAACAATCCATATATCAATTGTATCAAGCATATTTGTTCATATGCTGCCATCATCATTTTCTAAATATTTACTTTCTATTTGAGCACTTGGTATCAGATCCTCTTTTTGTCCTCCTTCCCCCAACCTCCCACCCTTGTGAACCCTTGTTAAATTATTATTATTTTCATATCTTACACTAACTGCTGTCTCCCTTCACCCACGTTTCTGTTGTTAATCCCCCTGGTGGGGAAGTATGTGCTGATCATTGTGATTGGTTCCCCCTTCCTCTCCTTCTCCCTCCACCTTCCCCCTATCCTCCTGGTATTGCAAGTCCCATTTCTGTTCTTGAGGGTTTATCTGACCTGCATTCCATTGGTCATGATCTCTTATCTGTACCAGTGTACATGCTCTGGATTAGCCTGAAGTGAAAGGCAGGATTGGAGTCATGATAGTGTGTGTGGTGAGTGGGGTGGGGTGAGGAAGCCTCAAAGAACCAGAGGAATAGTGAATGTTTCATACGTGCTATACTGTGCCCTGATTGACTCATCCCTTCCTCATAACCCTTCTGTGAGGGGTTATCCTATTTTCTACAGATGGGTTTTGGGTCTTTGCTCTAACCCCCCTCATTCTCAACGATATGTTTTCTTTTTCTTTTATGTGTGTGTGGGGGGGGGAGGGGGCGGAAGGAGGTTGTCTTGTGAAGCCTGATCCCGTAGACATCTCATGATCCCACAGGCAGGTGTGCTTCTTCCAGTTGGGCTGGTTGTTTCTCTGCTAGATGGCTGCTTGTTTAACTTCAGGCCTTTAAGTCCCCAGATGCTATTTCTTTTGATAGCTGGGCACGATGAGCTTTCTTCACCACAATTGCTTATGCACCCATTTTGTCTTCAGGGATCGTGTCAGAAGGGTGAGCATCACATAATGCCAGGTCATTAGAAAAAAGTGTTCTTGAATTGAGGGAAGGCTTGGGCAGAGGCCTAAAGTCTGTCCACTTCCTCAGTCTATTAACATATAAATATATTTACATAGGCAATACCTCTATTTTATGAATTAATATATTTACATATGTACATGTCTGTGTTTATGCCACTCTCCATAGCTTTGCTTCCTAATCTTTCCTCTGTTTCCTTTTACCTTCTTCCTGCTCCACCATCACATTTGGCCTTCTTCTGACTTTCAGTAATTCCTCTCTGCTAGATTCCTATTGTTCCAACACCACTGAGATCTCTACATCATCCTCGTGGATTTTAAATCCCTTGTTGCTCACCTTTCTATGGCATTGTTTGCTCACTGCTCCCTTCCCCTCCCTCCCCCTCCCCCTATGTTCCTCCAGAACTGCCAGTCCCATTGCTTTATCCTTGGGCTTGCTTCCCATGCCTATCTTATATAGATAGGCAAAACAACCGGTCTCTCCTGAAGGGGACCTGGTTGCTAGTAGCTTATGTGTGGGACTGCTCTCCTCAAAGTCAGCAGTTGGAAATTATCAGCTGCCTCCAAGACAAAAAGACAAGGCTTTCTACTCCCCTAAAAGGTTACAGTCTCAGAAACCCCCAAGAGCAGTTCTCCCTGTGAAAAAATTAAGTCAACGGAAGTTAGTTCAGTTTGAGTATTTTGTTTAATTGCATGTATCATTTAGAGACTATAAAACCTGAAACTTCTCCTTTCCTTCATAAAAACTCACTTGGATTATAAAAGTGCTTCTGCGACGTGAATTATTTCAGCACCATGTGGCAAGAGCTGGGGTTTACCCCACTCCAGAAATCTAACAGCATTATAAACTGCCAATATGGATCGCACATCTCACATCTAAGGTGCTAGTGTCAAGCCATCCACTTTCAAAGGAGGGCCATTCTCCTTGGCACAAGGTGCAGAGCTTTCCCAGGGTCAATTTCACAACCCCATCATCTCCAGAGAAGCCTTTAGAAAAGACAGAAGGCAATCAAGAACTCTGGACTTAGGAGACTTTTGTCACCTGACAGAAGGTTAAATTAAAGAGTAAGGAAAAGACACAAAAGATAAAATTTACCCTCATCAGGAGTAAAACCTATAAAGGTCCCCAACAGGAAGAGGTCCCAAAGAAAAGATAAGAATTCTACCCCATGAAGGAAAGGTGGCCTTGGACACCAATTTAATTATTTTACAAGGTTAAGAAGCAAAGAATGAAATCTTGTCTGGGAAATAGGCATAGAGAACCATCAAGGGAAACACTGGGTAGCCAATAAAATGGTCACGCAAAGGATATATAAGAATTCAAGAAGGCACCTTGGGGTCCAGTCTTCAGGTACTGTTACTACAAGCCCAAGGGCTAAAAATGGAAGGATCAGACTGCAAATGCCCAGGGACAAAAATCAACCAGGACACCAAGACGGTTCATATTCTAACGCATGCCTGATTTGAAACCATGAAGGATTCCCTTGTTCTGTCTATAAAACTACCTTTTCCTACGTGTAAACATTCTGCATGAGCACAATTATGTGTTCTGGGATTCCTGATTTCTGTTTTTCTTGATCCTATCCATAGCTTGTCATGATCCACACAATCAATTGCCTTTGTATGGTCAATAAAACACAAGTAAACATTCTGGTATTCCCTGATTTGAGACAAGATCCATCTTACATAAGCATGTGCCAGGTCCTCTTCTGAATCCAACATGAATTTGTGGCAACTCCATGTCCTAGAAATGTACTCCTGGATCTATCTCCTCCAATTCAGTGACTGGAGGCACCCATTTCACAAATGAATGCCCTGCCCCAAAAGTATTTAGCTCTATTTGCTCCATGAGCCGAGAAGCCCACCACTTGGGATTGGATTGGGGATCAACATTTTGCAGCTCTCCCTCGTCTATCACTCTTCTACCACTTCATGGGTGCGTTAATCTGGGTGGACTAAAGAAACAAATTCATAGACACTCTTATGTATATAAGGAAGAGCTTTATATAAAGAGTAATTATATATTAAAAACATCCCAGCCCAGTCCACGTCAAATCCAGAAGTCCAATATTAGTCTATAAATTCCTCTTCAGACTCATGAAACACATGATGCTGAATGCAGGAAGATCACAGGCCAGTGGGTGGAAATTCTTGTGAATCCAGTGGTGGTGGAAGCATCCCAGCACTGGTATGGGTCTCCAAGTGGTAACTCCAGTTCCAGGGCTCTGGGTCCATCAGTGTAGCTCCATGCAGTTTGTCAACCAGAAATGTCTCACAAAGAGGCAAGCAGAGAGTGAGTGTATCTGAACTCCAGTGAGCTATTGATCTCTGTAAATGAGGTCATCGTGCTGCACCCTGATTGACAGGCTCCAGCTGAGGTCATCAAGCTGTGCCCTGATTGACAGGTTAGATTCCACCCCTTCCCAAGTTGACAGGAGATAATGTAAATATGACAATGGGTGCCATAGCCTTCTGTCCCTGAATTGAGGAATTTCAATGCACAGGGATATTAGGGTCTATATGATGTGCTCCACTCCTGGCTTTTCTTTCTTTCCTTTTGAAATAGAGTGCTAATGCTATTCAAAGCATTAGAAAACTTCATTTTCCTCTGAAAAACATTTTGCAATTAAAAGGATAAAAACTATTTTTATGGACTCAGCCACTGTAAATCCCTGCTTTCTTGGGGCCAGCCCCTGGTTTCTCCTTGCCACCCAGTCAACTTCCCTGCAATCGCTCTACCCCTTTCTCCATGTTCATAAACCTACTCCACCCTCTCTCATCCTCTCATCTGCTCTGTAAGGTCTAGTTTTCCTTTAGTGTTCCAGGCCTTTGCAGACAGATAAGACATGTCAAATGGATTGGAAAACCCTTCCAACCAGGCAGTGCACAAGTGTTGGATTTGTGCTTCTGAGAGAAAAATTACCTGCATTTTCGTCAGTCAAATGAAAGATCATTGTCCCTTTCACTTGTGGATACTTGTTCAGAGCCAGATATTACCCTGTTTCCCCCAAAGTAAGACATCCCCCGAAAGTAAGACCTATTTACAGCTTTGTCTCTCACTGAAATATAAGGCATCTCCCCCAAAATAAGAGCTCCCTGAAAATAAGCCCCTCTGAAGCTACCATAACTCTGGACTCTGGATCGTAGCAGAAGGCGCCACTGCGCAGCTCACTGTTGTCCACAGCGCAGCCAGAGCAGACAGGAAGTGCGATGTCTCTTTTAATAAAAAAATTAACAATAAATGTGTACTGTATTCTTCTTCATGGAAAAACAAGACATCCCTGAAAATAAGACCTAGCACATCTTTGGGAGCAAAAATTAATATAAGACACTGTCTTATTTTCAGGGAAACAGGGTAGGCTGGGTGTATCCCATGTCTGGTTAGCCCTATGTTTTCTCTTGTTTTCCCTAGTAATGGAGCTATCACAGCTGGGTACTGTTAGAGAAAAGAAGAGTGGCACATGACTAAGGTGGTATTTAATAGAAGGCAGAATGTTCAGAATATAGGCAGCAATCACTGAAGGAAGGAAGTTTTGATTTTTCAGTGGGCAAGGTCAAGACCAGCAAGGAGCATGAGGGAGAGTTGTGGTCAAAAAGGTCTAACCACATCACTCAGGGATGAGTACGTTTCCTTATAATATAACCCCCTTTCCCCTTTCTATTAATCTCTTCCTCCTGCAGATCTCAGGATGATTTCCCCAAGGAACATGTGGGGAAATAATAAAGAGATTCTGTTCTACTGGGGAGAAAAAAGGAAGGGGTGTCAGAGTATTCAAGGCAGTGAGAGGAAGGCTGAGGGAATCTATGGTTATTATTGTTTCTTGATCAAAGACAATTGAGGGCATCACAAGCTAGGCCCTGGGACCAGCTTGATCCCTTGTCCTTGCTTAAAAAGACTGTGTGCTGGCCCTCACTGGACATGAACAAGACCACCCAGTTTTCTCATGGTTTGCTCATCATCTCTGCCTTGGCTTCAGGACCACCATCAGCCCCTTGCCATCAGCAGCAGGCTGGAAGCCCCTGGTCTTGGGGTGAAGCAGCTTGTTGTCGAGCAAGGTGCTGACGCAGTTCAGGTTATTGGGCTTGATGCTGTGAATATGCTCATTCCTCTTGATCAGGAAACTGGAGCATTTTCGCCCGACCATCCATTGCAGATGGACTGACATGGCAGTGGCAGCTCCTCTCCCAGTAGTGGCTGGAGATGGAAAGCGAGTTCTAAGGTTTTACAATTATAATTAACCTTGTTAATAATCACTTACAGCTGAATAATATAATTCCATCAGCACCTTACTCCACCTTCCCTTACCCTGATCCATAAGGAAAAAGGAGTTAGGTGGAAGTTACAAACAGGGTGCCCCAAGAGTCCTAGCATACAATTCACAGCATCACTACAGGGAGTTTTGTTTCACCAAAATCAGTATGAGCGTTCATTGCTATGATACGCAGTCACAGTAAATGTCAGTTTCATAACATTTAACAGTATTATAATTTAATATCGGTGTTTATTGTAAACTCCATGATAGCAAAGGCAGATTGTGAAGTGTTTTGTTCATTTTTCTCTAGCAATCAATTCATTGACTCGTACAATAAACAGCTGTCTACCATATATATTAGTGCATGCATAACCTTGATGGTCTAATACTTAACTGCTCAAGTTGAAAATTAACATTCCTAATTTTCTTTTTCAAAAAGGACTTTAAGTATTTTTCAAGGCAAATGGTCAAAGTGACTGTCACTATTTTTTAAGGGTACTAAACATATTCATATTATATTGAATAAAGAATACTTATCACAGATTGGTAGATATATTCTTCAAAGGCTCAAGGTTGTAACATTTCCACAATACATCTATGTTATTGAATTTATCTAAATATGCATACTACAAAGTCTATATGCACTGTTATTTTCTAGTATAGTTCAAAAGTTTTACAGCAATTACAAAGTAATTGCTCAATGTAAAGTAATAGTTTTTGATTTCTGAATAATCTAAAGATTAAATATGTATAGTCAGCAATTGCAAATCAAATCAATCATGTGACTCAACTATACCTAGTATTATTTCAGGAATATCCACCCAGTAAAAGAAGGAAGAAAAATGTTACAACTCACAAATTTATAAAAAGTTATGATGATTATTGAAATGCATATTTTCTCAAATCACTGTGTATTTAATTAGAATCTTTTGAGCTTATTTCTCTAGTATATTGGAGATATATATGTATATATATTCCTTATGTATTCCTAATTCATTGAAAATGCAAGGACACTATTTTTGTTTTTCCTCAAGAGACCATATAGGGTGATATGAGATTTATAAACCTCCAGACAGTTAAAGTATGCTACTTGCTGTGATTAGGTACTATATGAACATAAATTCTAAGCTCTTAATAAAGAATGCAAAATTCACTATATCTATAAGCAGGATTATGATTTTATACAATGTACTACGTTATTTGAAGGGATTAATATCTACAAAAAGGCACTTGTGAAGTATCTGACAAGTTTTTCACTCAGTGTTACGCATTTCTTTACCTGACTATGACAGAGTACCATTCATAGAAACATATTTAGGAATGTGTCTAATCATATCAAACACACTGAGATGGTGAGACCATGTAATCTGGATGGAAGAGAATTCCATCTGATTCTCAAGAGTCTGTCCCTTCTTTTAATGCCTCAGGAAATGCAATCAGACCATGGTCACCTGTACATCATCACACCCCTGTGTCAATCAGTTGTTGACACAGAAGTGACTAAGGCTTATTTTATTATAATCTTGTCTTTGTCAAAGACCCAAATAAATGAATGCTTAATGTACTTCCAGTTTAGTACTTCTTAATGATACTTTCTGGAAAAGTACTATTAAAACCACTTATTTTTATGTCTGCCTAAGATAAATGTCAATATAGATATTCTAAAGCAACACAATTTTCAAATATAGTATAGCTTTTTCTTATTCTAGGTATTTAGATGTTCTATGTCTAGCTCACCAACATACCTTAATTTCTTATAGAAAAACATATTCTTTGCTCTGGAAGGCAATTTTCAAAGAATTTTTTATGCATTATTCTTCTTGATCGTCAATGAAAATTTTAATTTCCATTAGAATTCTGTACAGAAGGGGTAGAGTGCATTTTTATTTTTTTAAATGACTGAATAATATTACACCTTTCTGTGCTAATGAAGACCTAGCTCACTGCCACTAGTAGATTCCACTCAGAGGGGGCAACTGCTCATGGGCTTCTCAAAGCCAGAAATCTTTCTGGAAGCAGACTTCCACATATCAATCTCATAGAGCAGCTATTCGAACCACTGGGCCACAAAAGTTCCTTTTTTTTCTCCTTATGAAATGTTGGATTTTTTCCCCAAATAAACAAAGAATCTTCTAAGACTGAAAGAGTTGTTTATTGCTTTGTGCATCATATATTACACATTGGGTGGAAACTATACAATTCTAATAATTTGATTAGGAGTCCTGATTAGTGGATTGTAAATTGGGCTGCTAACTGACACTTCAGCAGTTCGAAACTACCTGTTTCTCAGCAGGAGAAAGAAGAGGCTGTTTGCTCCTGGAGATATTTAGAGCTTTGGAAATCCAAAAGGAGCAGTTCTATCCTGTCATATAGTCAATCCGAGTCAGAATTGACTGTCCAGTGTTATACAGCTGGATTCCTAATTTGAATATTGCCAAAGTGTTGTACTATTTATAATACAATCACTTTCCTTTCCCTTAAATAGCAAAAAACAAACAAACACAAAAAACATTTTTAATTACCATGAAATGCTCTCAATTTAACATTACATGTAACTTCAAAAAGTATGCATGTATTTGCATTGTATGTGCTTTCTATGTCATTTATACTAAAATCCACTCCTGCTGATCATATATTTCTAATTTGCTCATCTTCCCTTCCACATTTTGACTAGAAAACTAGTGAAATTCATTCTAGAGCCTAACTTATCAGAACATTTTGAGAAAGATATTGAACGTTAAGAATAGTGCTTGTAGGTCAAGCTTAGAGAAAATAAAGAATGTTGTGGAAGCAAATAATGAATTATTTATTTTTTTAGAAGACCCTTCTTCTGACTATTTCTCACATCCTTTTAGAGTTTGTTGGGATTTGGCTATGCTATTTCTCATATTGAGCGTTGTGACCATTGTAAACATAGACTCATTGAGCGATATAAATAAGGGGAAAGATATTGATGTTTTACAAAATTATGGATAGTATACACTTACATTGGCCATATATTTCTCTATTTCATTATAGCTTTTTTATTTTTACTGTAGTAACATTTTTTTTACATCTTATTTAAGAAGTGTTACTCATTTCTTAATGACAAATTGCCCTTCCACTGGTATATATTTTATCTCAACATATGGGCATGAACTAGTAAGAGATCAAGTAACCCCTTAGATAGTAATTTTAATATAATGTTTTATTAATGATTAAATAGTTTGATATGATTACAATAAACTATTTCAGGTATATTATTAAAAAAACCTTTCATTCCAATATAAATCAGCACTACATGATTCATGCTATAAGTAAACAGAGCTTTGAAGGCTATCACAAATAAGGTTTTAAAGTTGCAAGACACTGTCTTCCATACATATCTACTGTAGCAGACAAACATATAGAGAGAGCCTTTCTATATAATTTATTCTACTTCTTACATTTGGAATAACATGCTCAACTGACTCTACTTTTTAAAGTAAGCATTACTTTCATAATTATTTTTTCTTTTCCAAAATGCTTAAAGTCCCCACATTTGCAAACTTAAGATATCCAATAGAAATGATTAATAATATAAAGCGGAAATAACTTATGGTCATAGAACATCACACGTTTTGTTTAAAAACTGACATATCTCCAAAGGAGAGAACAGGCTGGCTGGGTGGCATAGTCCTGTAACTGCTAACTGAAAGGCAGTCGGGCTTCTCTCCCCCAGTCACTCGTGAGAGAAAATCAAAACAAAACAGGACAGAATGTATGTCATGCAGCAATATGTTCAAAGACATGGAACTTAAACTACGTGCTATACCATTCTACTGAAATATAAAGATGACACACAATGTACAATAAGGTGCTAAATTATCTAGGGGATACATCTAAGAAGATAGCATAAAAGTAAAGGTATGAGTCATTAACAATATTTTATTTGTCAGAAAATTTTGATAATAAAATTCAGAGTTTTGAACATAGCACAGCATGCTATGCATGTCAGGGGACATGGATTCACTTTGATTCAGTACAGTGCTCAAGTAGGGAATTAAATTCTCTAATTTAACTTAAATTAAACTAGAAGGTATTTACTGGATTAAAAACCTTAACAAATATTTACCAGATTTGAAGAGCATTTACTTAGACAGCTGGCCTGCATCACAGGAGCGACATTAGGTCATGGCTTTAAGTGGCAGTTGTTCACTGAAAATCGTGAACTGAAAAGTGGGAGAAGAAGAATATTTAAAACTCAATAAGAGCAAACTGTGGCAAAAATGACCTAAATAATCAAAATGTGCAATTACCTCATGGCAAAAGAAATCATAATAATCTGGCTACAGTTCTTTTGAGACATTAAGAAGTAAATCAACAAGGAAGCAAACTAATAAAAGACTTCTCTGTCAAGGTGAGCAGTCAATGCTAACAATTCAAATATGGGACAGCAGAGTTCTGGAGCTTCCTCTTTGTATGTATGTTTTAAACAAATCAATATATTAAGCAACTTCTGGCACATAATACATCCTGATCACATTGATTTTCTACTACAATTTAAAACATTTTTATGCTTTCCAGTTTCTATTGATAAGAGATGTGCTGCATCTGCTTGGTAATCTGTTTATAACCAAAATCGAATTAAGTCTTTTATTTTGTATTATTGCCTATTTTTCAGGTGCCATCTAGTTAGTTTTGATTCATGGAAACTCTATTGACAAATGAACAGAAAATGACCTGGTATGGTGCCATCCTAACAATCATTGAGAGTTATAATTAAGCAATTCTGTATGATTGTTTAATTAAAAATATTTGAAGAATATATCAAGTTCAAAACTTGTTAAGAAATAAGTTTATATTTTAATTTTAACACATTTGAATCTTACAATATTATGACTGTATTTTATGGTTTACTAGTATTTTAGCACACCTTTTGTGCTATATTTTAA